ATAGTGGTACAAGAATTTTTCAAATCTTGAAATGTCTCCAACAATTTGATCAGCCAAGTAATACAAAAAGTTAAATCCCTTTTCATATGGAACTGAGCTGAATGCATCATCAGGATCAATGTTGTCTAACTTTGGAATCATTTTAGTAAATTGTGTTTCATTAATCTCCTTATAATGATTGATAGAAGCAGTTAATGATGCATAACCAATTTGTGCATGAAATTTTGCGTATTCTTCTCCATTCAATCTTGCTAAAATTCTTCTCTCAATGAATACAGTAAAGCCTATTTACAGTTACAGTTGAAAGTAAAAATAATAATAACGTGTTGTCATTCCGAAAATAATTGTGTCAGCATGAGTATACGTTACAAAACATGCAAAATATTTCTTACAAACCTTCATTAAGCCAAAATTCTTCCCATGTGGCGTTCGTGGTATAATTTCCACTCCAACTATGAGCGATTTCGTGGGCAACAACATTTGCCAAAGATTTGTCACCGGCCAACAAGGTTGGAGTTAAGAATGTCAAATTAGAATTTTCCATTCCTCCAAAAGGATAGGATCCAGGAAGAACGACAAGGTCATATTTTCCCCATGCATAAGGTGGCAAGAACTCCTCGGCGGCCTTGATGAAATCTTCAGTTTGTGAAAATTCTTCAGCTGCCTTTTCCAGAGCCTCTTCTTCGCAGTATAATGTGCTTCTTGGTCCAATTTGTTTACTTTCCAAAGCTCCAACTACAAGAGCGATGAGATAGGATGGAATAGGAACGTTTTGCTGAAAGTGATAAATATTAATATGAGAGGTATCATCTTCCCACTGTTTGATTGCGGACATGGCAGCCACAAGAGGCTTCTCAGTACGAATGGTGGCTGAATAGGTTATCTTGTTGGAAGGAGTGTCTTGGCATGGAAGGAAAGAACGTGCATGAATTGCCTTTGGTCGGAATGCATACAAATCAGCCGGAACGTTTTGTTGACATAATGAGAAAGAGATTAGTGACGAATATTCACATATGATGGTGATGATTGATATTCACAAACCAGCCACAATTTTTGATGTGATATGCATAGAAGAAACCGTTTGTCATGATCACAAAAGATGATGGCCCAAAAAAGGCAAATCACACACATTGATCATTTCAATATATCACATAACAATCCAATGAATTGAATATCACACTACAGTAAGGCCACAAAACTCTAAACATACCTGACATTGAGTAAACAAGTATGGATGCTTCTTTCCAAGAGTTTGTTCTGGATTCAACCACTGAATCGCTTCACTCTCTTGAGTGGTTTCGTAGAACACTCTCACCACAAACAAATCTCCCTTCTTCAAATCAATACGTTCAGAAGCACCAAGATTAATCACCAGAGGCTGTCCGAACACTGCAGGATATCCCTTCTCACTCACTTCCTTCTTTGAAAATTGTTGAAATGAAACCTCCATCTCTTGCTGTTGTTGTTCATTCACGCTTTCCTCATGATGTTTATGATGCTTCTTGTAGAGGAATTTCGTTTGTACAATATTCAAATTTCGGGCATCCAAGACCAATTCGGAAGGCTTCTCCACAAGAGCCTCACAAGTAATATCGACATAACCAATCAAGATCTTGTTTTTAAAATCCGTAGAGAGGTCCAAATAATAATGTCGAGTTGCCACGAGATGATTGTTTCCAAAACTTTGCTTATCGTGAGGTGAGAGTTGTGGGAACGTTGGACAAAATCCGGAGGATGATGAAGAGAGGACATTTTTAAAAATGAGATCAAATTAAAGCTTTAATTAAAGCTTTTTCTCAACCCTTGTCCTCGTTCGCAGTACAATAATGCCGAAATGTTCTTCTTCTTTCATCTCTTTCGGAACGTTGTACCGTCCTCAATATGAATAGATAAGAAGGATTCCTATTCACAGAATTCAGCTCGTTGATCCAGATGAAATACAAAACTTTCATAGTTCAGTTGATCCCCCAAGATGATGGCCTTTTAGTTTGAATACCTTAATCTCATTCGGAAGGCCTTCATCAGTAATGCTTTTGCATTTGATTATCACATATTTGTTGAGATAGATTGTCCGAGAAATAATTGCAAAACCATGACCAATGATCTGATGATCACCTTGGCCACATGTAATACATGCAATTGATGAATCGTTGAAGTTATACTAGGTACCATGTTCAAAACAAGAACACCAAAAACAAAGGTTGCTTGTCGTGGAATTGAGGCCCTTTTTGATGTCTTAAAGATTTGAAATCGATCAAGTCTCAAATCCTTCAACAAACGGCATGAAACAGAAACAAAGACATGAAATCTTCCCTCCTCAGTTCTATGACCAACTGTAATCGATTGTTGAGGTGAATGAAGGTTGATCATTCTCATTCCTATTCAATCGTAGATTGATCAATACTCAATCAAGACATTCAAGCAGAGTGCAACAGTTCCTTCTATTGACTTCAAGTTTGATGACAAGTGAATCAATCTCCCCATCAAACGTCACTCCGTTGATTGGCGAGTTGACTCTTCAACCCCCAAACCAGCCATCAAATTTAGTCTCACTTTCGATCGTGTGAAAATATTTTTCACAAAACAAAAACCTCCACAACAACAACTTCTCTCCAACAAGAACAACAAAATGTGTGACGACGTTCAAGCACTCGTAGTTGATAACGGATCTGGTATGTGTAAGGCTGGTTTCGCTGGTGATGATGCACCAAGAGCTGTCTTCCCTTCCATCATTGGTAGACCAAAGCAAAAGTCCATCATGGTTGGTATGGGTAACAAGGATGCCTATGTTGGTGATGAAGCTCAATCCAAGAGAGGTATTTTGACTTTGAAGTATCCAATTGAACACGGTATTGTCACCAATTGGGATGATATGGAAAAGATCTGGCATCACACCTTCTACAATGAATTGAGAGTTGCTCCAGAGGAACATCCAGTCTTGTTGACTGAAGCTCCATTGAATCCAAAGGCTAACAGAGAAAAGATGACTCAAATCATGTTTGAAACCTTCTCTGTTCCAGCCATGTATGTTGCCATTCAAGCTGTCTTGTCTTTGTATGCTTCTGGTCGTACCACTGGTATTGTTTTGGACTCTGGTGATGGTGTCTCTCACACTGTTCCAATTTATGAAGGTTATGCTTTGCCTCATGCTATTTTGAGATTGGATTTGGCTGGTAGAGATTTGACTGATTACTTGATGAAGATTCTCATGGAACGTGGTTACTCATTCAATACCACTGCTGAGAGAGAAATTGTCAGAGATATCAAGGAAAAGCTCTGTTATATTGCTTTGGACTTTGAACAAGAAATGAAGATTGCTGCTGAATCATCCTCCGTTGAAAAGTCTTATGAATTGCCAGACGGTAACGTGATTACTGTTGGAAATGAAAGATTCAGATGTCCAGAAGTTTTGTTCCAACCAAACTTCATTGGTATGGAAGCTGCTGGTGTCCATGAAACTACTTTCAACTCGATTGGAAAGTGTGATATTGATATCAGAAAGGATTTGTATGGTAACGTTGTCTTGTCTGGTGGTACTACCATGTTTGAAGGTATTGCTGAGAGAATGACCAAGGAATTGACCAACATGGCTCCTGCTTCCATGAAGATTAAGGTTGTTGCTCCACCAGAAAGAAAGTACTCGGTCTGGATTGGAGGTTCCATCTTGGCTTCATTGTCCACCTTCCAACAAATGTGGATCACCAAGGAAGAATATGAGGATGCCGGTCCAGGTATTGTCCACAGAAAGTGCTTCTAAATTGACCTTGGATGCACATTATCAAATTCCAATGTAATAAAACATAAAAATCTATGTAAAATCATGCATGAGTTGTGTCTTTGTAAAATTGATTTGTAGTCTCCTATTATGTCAATTTTGTGTTTGGTTTATTGTGACCAAAGCCACTTCTTTTTAAAATACAATTTAAAATTTCAAGAGCATTCTCATAGGAATAACTCCAATCGAGCAAATAAATGAAATCACAAATGAATATAAAATCAAAGGATTCAAGTGCAAGAAAAACTTTTCAGTCTTTTTGAACCATCCCGAAATACATAAATTGCTCAAAATTTCAAAAATTAAATACGGAATATTAATGGCCACATAGTATTTCAAATGAGTCATCAAACTGCTCATCAAGGATTGAATAAATATAGAAAGAACTGGTTCCGAAGATGAAATTAGTGATACAAGCAGGCATACAAATCCGCCCATAAGTATCACAGAAGTTCCTACAAGCAATCGATCCAGTACATCATTAAGCTTGTTGTCGGTTGTTGTTGTTTTGAGCATTTTTTGTTTGAAAATTCGTTTTACAAAGAAGTGTTTATATAATTCAAACGAAAGGATAGAAAAGAAGAATTGAAGTATGACCATAGATCACACTGTGAGTTGAAGAATGTCACTGACGAATGTAATTGCATGGAAAATGGTCAGTCGAGAGAATTTACACTTTGGGAATGCGTCCCATACAAATACTTCAACCACCTTCCTTACTCGAATGTAATCTGCTGCTGAGGAAGTGGTGGTAACCTTTCTCTGTCCTTAGTGATACACACACCTATTGGACATGTCATTGTGCAATTTGTCGTGCTGACTCCGAAAATATTTCATCTTTGAAAAAGTTTTGAATTCAAAAGGTCCTTAAGGGAGTGAGCGAATGGTTGTCAAACACAAAAACGATCATCTATTATTTTCATCTTCTAATCTTCCTCTTCCTCCAATCGAACATGAGGACTCACTTCAGAAGCATCTTCTCCAAAAGATACATTTCTTTGACACTCTCTCCACACAAACACCACATTCCAAATCGAAATTCCACAACACAACACACAAAATGCTTCATGAGCAAGTGCCACCATCAGTGGAAGAACTTCCATCTTTTCCCACGAGATTGTTCCACCACCACTACTACTACCACTATTGGTAGTATTCTCTTCCAATAAATTTCCATAAAATAGAAAATAACTTCCAATATAGACAATCACTGCTCCGAAAAGTGTTTCCAATGAATGAAAGGCCCCAACATACGACAAGTACAATCTCGAACAAGACGAGGAGATTCATGAAGAGAATGGCCAAAATGTGTTGATGTTCCAAAGTGGAATTCGTTCCTCGGACGAGTGTGGCTAAAAATTTGAGAGTGAGTGTGGTGAAGATGAGAGAGAAAACAAGTGGAATGAAAGAGAAGAGTTGGTAGAGAGTGGAGAGTTTATTGGAGAGGGCCATGATGAATGTTTCGATAGGACAATTTTTTATGAATGGTTGAGAATCAAGAGAGAGGAGTGACAAGTGGCAGGTACGTCAAGAGGTGAGGGTTCCAACCTTTCCTTCAATTATTCAATGTTGAAAATCAAATAGAGGAATCGCTAATGCCACTTGTCAGAATCGTTCAAGAACGAAAATAGAATTCCCATTCTTTCAAAAAAATGATTCAAAACCCAGTCATTCATTTTCTCTCTTTATCGGAGCCCATCTCCCAAAGCGACCTCTCTCGGCAATCTCTTTCTCAAAAATTGAAAGAAACCACCGATCTTTCCAAAATCAACTCCAAATTTTTACTTTTCGAACTTTGTGTACAAAAAACTCTGACTCTGGCGTCGATCAAGCTCTTGTCCTTCCACAAAGAAGAAACCATCATAACAACAAATCTGAATGTCAACCACTCTGCGTGTTGTTTCAACTCAAAAAGTTTGTGTCATGAGAAATCAAAATGACGACACAACGAAATTATTGAACAGCAATTACACAACGACAGTTCAAGGCAATCCTTAACTATTCATCACCACTCATGACATTGCATCTCATCTACCCAGAAATGAACTCTCCATTAGCATAGATTCATGTTTCAGTGAGAAATATTTGAATTTATATTTTAAATGTATTCGAAATGTGTTCAGAGAAAAGGAACAAGAATTCAACGTTGGGAATTCTCAAGAGAGAGTGGATTTTGAGGTGTTGGCCACTCATATTAATGAAATTTTGCAAGAACAATTGGAAGAGATACAAATCGAAATGGCCACTCGTGAAAGTAAAGCCATTTCTAAATCTCTTCTTTCATCCAAATCACATCAACCAGTGGAGTTGGATCATGATGAAATTACGAAAGTGAATTCGGAATTGAATACACCTGAATATTGGAGGAAACATGTCAAATTTTCATTACAAACACCAGTGGATGATTTTATACAAGGCTCCATGTTAGAATTTCATATTCCATTTCCTAGTTACTGGGAATCAATGAATGATTTCTCCACACGAACAGTTCCTGTGACACCAAACTCGACCGAATATAGAAATGTGAAACAATGGATGAATTCTACCATTCAAAAACACAAAGGAAATGTAGGAGGAGAGTTTTCGCATTATCTCAAAAGCTCCATTACAAGAATTCAAAATGCCAAGCTCTATCTCAAATACTTTTTGAAACAACAAGAATATGCTCATGAAAA